CACTTGAGTCATGCCTCCAGTCCAACAATCCACACTTGACTGATCAGTGGGTCATCAAAGGAATAAAGAGGAAAAATTGTAAATTCATAGAATCAAATGAAAACACAAATTACCAGCATTTTTGGGAGAAATCAAAGGCAGTGCTAAAAGGAAACTTTATAATCACAAGTACCTTTATTAAAAAGACGAGAGATTCCAAATAAACAATCATCAATACATGTCAAGCTCTTTTGGGCCAAACCCAAAAGCGGTAGATGGAAAGAAATAATAAAGAAATTAATGAAATGGAGACTTAAATTAGAAACGAGAAAATGGATATCACAACAAATACTGATGAAATGCAGAGGACCACTAGGGAGTACTTTGAAAATTGTATTAGAAGCATCTGGAAAATCTAGAAAAAGTAGATGAATTTCTAGATGCATATGACCTTCCAATAATGAACCAAGAGGATATAAACAAAAACAGATCTACAACTAACAATGAAATTGAAGCAATAATAAAGAATCCACCCCCCCACCCCAGGCAAAAAAAAGCCCAGTACCAAACAGATTCATTCCTGAATTCTACATCTTTAAGGAACTAACACCAATGCTTCTCAAGTCATTTTATAAAATAGAAACACAAGGAACACTACCAAACTCATTCTATAAAGCCAGTATTACCCTGATACCAAAACTAGATGAGGACATGACAAAAGAAACTATAGAACAATGTCCCTGATGAACATAGATGCAAAAATTCTCAATAACGTACATTAAAAAGATCATATACCATGATCATTCTGAGATCATTCCAAGAATACAAGGAGGTTCAAGATATGCTAATTATGTTACATGGCACATTAACAGAATTAAGGACAAAAGTCACATGATCATCCAAATGGATACACAAAAAAAGCCTTTGACAAATTTCAACATTCTTTCATGATAAAAGCCCTAAAAAATAATTAGGAATGGAAAGAATGGACAGCAACATAATAATGGCTGTATACAATAAACATACAGCCAACATTGTACTAAGTGAGTAAAAACTGAAATCATTTCCTCTAAAGTCAAAAAGCAGACAAGAGTGTCCATTCCTCCACTCTTATTCAATATAGTACTTGAATTCTTGGTCAGAGCGATAAGATAAGAGAAAGAAGTAAAAGGGACACAAATAGGGCACGAGTAAAGGATTCTTGTATGCAGATGAAGACTCAAATGACTCTTAGATATGATAAACATGTTAGGCAAAGTAGCAGAGTAACAGTTAACATATAAAAATCAATAGCTTTTCTATATACCAATAAACAACAGACTGAGAAAGAAATCAGGAAAACAATCCCTTTATAATAGCCTCAAAAAATAACAAAAACCCCTAAGAATAAACTTAATGAAGGATGTGAAAGACCTTCACAATGAAAACTATAAAACACTGAAGAAAGAAATTAAAGACAATAGAAAATGGACAGATTTCCCATATTTATGGATCAGCAGAATTAATACTGTGAAAATGGTTATATAACTAAAAGCAATCTACAGATTTGTGCAATTCCTAGGTCATTTTTCATAGAAATAGAAAAGTCAATCCTTAAATTCATTTGGAAGCATTACAGACCCTGGATAGGCAAAACTATCCCTAGCAAAATGAACAATGCTGGAGGTATTTTAATACCTGACTTCAGAATATACCTCAGTCATAGGAACATAAACAGCACAGTCCTGGCACAAAAATAGACAAGTAGACTGATGGAAAAGAAGACTTAGGGAAAAAAAATCCACACAGTTACTGCCATCTAATTTTTGAGCAAGGCACCAAAAACATGTTGAAGAAAAGACAGTTTCTTCAACAAATCATGTTGGGAAAACTAAATATCCACATGTGAAGACTGGAAGCAGATCCCAGGCTCTCACTTTGTACAAAAATTAATTCAAAATGAGTCTAAATATCTAAGCATAAGTCCTGAAACTTTAAAACTACTATGGGAAAACTCTAGAAGATACAGGCATAGGTAACACCTTTCTGAATAAGGAGTCCAATTGCTCAGGAAATTAGAGCAAGAATTGACAAATGGGACTGCATTTAATTCAAAAGCTTCTGCACAGCAAAGAAAATAATCACCACAATTGAAAGACAACCTACAGAATGGGAGAAAATCTTTGTCAGCTGCTCATAAAATAAAGGACTCACATCCTTTGAAGAGCTTCAAAAATTAAGCACCATAGGAACAAACAATCCAATTAATAAACGGGCAAGTGAATTGAACAGACAGTTCTCAAAAGAAGACATACAAATGGGTAATAAATACATCAAGAAATGTTCAACATTCTGAACCAAAAAGGAAACGCAAATCAAAATGACCATAAGATTCTAATGGCAGCTATGAAGTAACCAATCAACAACAAATGATGATGAGGATGAAGGAAAAAAGGAACCGTCATGTACTGATGGGGAGAATGTAAACTAGTACAGCTAGTATGGAAATCAGTAGAGAGGTTCTCAAAAAGGTAAAACAGGCAGAGTACAAGGCTCCCACTTACAATCCCAGTTATTCAGAAAGTGGAGGTTGAGATAATCACCATTCAAGGCCACCCAAGCAAAACGGGAGATCTTATCTCATCCAACAAACCAGGTATGCTGTACAAACCTATGATCCCAGCTATGTAGGACATCACTGATAATAGGATCATGGTCAGAGGCTGGCCCCAGACAAAAATGTGAGACCTTAACCTAAAAAATAACTAAAACAAAAAAAGGGCTGCGGGTGTGGTTTGAGTAGTCAAGTACCATGCCTAGCAAGCACAAGGTCCTGATAAAAACCCCCTTATAAACCCTCTTACACTGTTGGTGGGAATGTAGACTAGTACAACCACTCTGGAAAAAAATTTGGAGGCTACTTAAAAAGCTGGACATCGATCTACCATTTGATCCAGCAATACCACTCTTGCGAATATACCCAAAAGACTGTTACTCCAGAGGCACCTGCACATCCATGTTTATTGCGGCACTATTCACAATAGCCAAGTTATGGAAACAGCCAAGATGCCCCACCACTGACGAATGGATTAAGAAAATGTGGTATCTATACACAATGGAATTTTATGCAGCCATGAAGAAGAACGAAATGTTAGCATTCGCTGGTAAATGGATGGAATTGGAGAACATCATTCTGAGTGAGGTTAGCCTGGCTCAAAAAACACCAAAAATCGTATGTTCTCCCTCATATGTGGACATTAGATCAAGGGCAAACACAACAAGGGCATTGGACTATGAGCACATGATAAAAGCGAGAGCACACAAGGGAGGGGTGAGGATAGGTAAGACACCTAAAAAACTAGCTAGCATTTGTTGCCCTTAACGCAGACAAACTAAAGCAGACACCTTAAAGCAACTGAGGCCAATAGGAAAAGGGGAACAGGTACTAGAGAAAAGGTTAGATCAAAAAGAATTAACCCTAGAAGGTAACACCCACGCACAGGAAATCAATGTGAGTCAATGCCCTGTATAGCTATCCTTATCTCAACCAGCAAAAACCCTTGTTCCTTCCTATTATTGCTTATACTCTCTCTACAACAAAATTAGAAATAAGGGCAAAATAGTTTCTGCTGGGTATTGGGGGGGGGGGAGAGGGAGGGGGTGGAGTGGGTGGTAAGGGAGGGGGTGGGGGCAGGGGGGAGAAATGAACCAAGCCTTGTATGCACATATGAATAATAAAAGAAAAAAAAAAAAAACCTTACACAAAAAAAAGAAAATGTAAAAAACAGCAGGGTCATATGACCCTGCTATAAATACTCTTGGGCAAATATATGAAGCAAGTCATCTGACAATCGAAATACCTGCTTGTTTTTTAAGAGTCCTGGGGACTGAACCCAGGGCCTTGCCCATGCTAGGAAAGCACTCTACCACTTGAGTCATACCCCAGCCCCCACACTGAGATACCTGCCCCCCCCATGTTTATAACAGCACTATTCACAATAGCCAAAACTATGAAATAAGCCCAGACAACTGCCCAATTGATGAATGGCTAAAGAAAATAGGGTATGAATATACCTTGGAATATTTAGGTTATTTGCAGGGAAATGGATAGGACCAGAGATCATGCTAAATGACATACTCAGATGGAAAAAGACAAATATTGCATGTGCTCTCTCATATGCAGAATCTAGACCTAAAACAAATGAGTAGCAGGAAAGTAAAATAGGGGCTTTCAGGGGTGGGAACCAGGAGTCAGGGAGGGAAAAAAGGGGTAAGTATGATGAAGTACTTTATATGCATGCATGAAAATAGGATAATGAAACCCATGAAAACTGTTGTAAGATGGGGGAGGGGGACTAGAAGAGTCATAGAGGGAATCAATTTGGTCAAAGTAGGAAAACACACACACAACCAGAAAATGGGAAAACTAAAATTCAAATCCAGGCAGTTCTAACTCTTAACTATTGTTATACTTCTTAATACCAGACATTTGGAACACAATATACTAAGATGAAAATAAAACTTTATGTTTCCTATTCTTATATTGAAGAGTTATAATTTTTTGCTTATATTGTAAAAATAGAAAACAAATGAAAAGCTACAAATATAGCAACTATGGTTAAAAATGTAATCATGTATTTGAAAACAAAAGTTGACTATTTAATTCTTTACATTTTCCAACTTAGTATCTTTCTTATTATTACCTAATTCCTGTTATTTTCATCAATGGATGAAGTAATTTTTAAAACCCTCACGTCTTTCTCTGTCAAAGTCAGGATTTTTAAAATATTTAAATTATATGTTAAGCATTGTAATAGACGTGACAAGTAACAATCAGTTTTCAAGGATAAAGAGATAAGCTGTTAACGTTAGGTGTTTTGTTGCTGAAGTATACTGGTAAATAATGGACAGGTATTATTAGGTTTAGCTTTAAGTAGGTAAAAAGAGGCTTAACAGACACATTTTTCCTTTTACAGCTCATGCAACAGGAAGTTATTTTTTATTATCAGTATTTTCCGTTGTAATTTTTCAGTCTGACTTACGGCTTGGCAGACGCTGGCATTTCTGGTTTGGGTTATTCCTCCCACGAAGACCACACAGGTCAGAAAGACGTGAAAGCACAGGTTCACAAGCATGTGCCAGCTCTTGAGGCTGATCCTGATCAAGCTGGTTTAAAAGGGGGAACTATTAATATGTAATCTGGAATGCTTGAAGTAGGACACTATGACGTTCACTTACAAGTGAATTCCAACTGCATAAAAGGTCAAATTTAAATGTTTCGAGTTAAACATTTTATTAATCAAGTACTTACTATCACACACACACACACACACAGAGGACTGGAGAAATCATCTAACTCAATACAGTTAACATTTAGCTTTATGCATTGAAAACACAAGACATTTCTGCACCCACTAATGCTGAACAAATTCTCCACGCTGAGGAGCATGTGAGCTTTTCAAGATGTCTTAAAAGGACTGGATTTCTTGGTTGGCTACCTAGAGATTTCTGCCTTGTACCAATAGGTGTTTTTCTTGACCAAGTGGGATAACATGGTCTAAATGCCTAATGCATTTCTTCCTGGCCTTTCATAATGAAATGCTGACATCTTTCTTTCCATTTTATATCAAAATCACCTTTTGTTTCTTAACTAAATGTCAAGAAATGCCACGTATGTCCAGCTTAAACAGGAAAATAGGTTCTAGCAAACCCTTTTGTAAAGTGTATTTCTGCTTAGCAAATCCTTTTAGTTCATTATTTCCAGCCATAAAATAAAGATTTCTGTAGCTTTGCCTCCAATTAAAAAAAGTCATATATCCTATGCTTAAATGCCACAAACTTTCTTTAAAATGCCATCTATAAATTAAAGAATGTCACAGCAGGCAAAAATCCATAATATACAAGTACTGACTAGTTCACTACCTAGAAGCACCTCCAATGGTCGCAGAGGTGACAAACCTCTACCTCCCATCAAACCTTGTTGCTCCTGTGCCCACCCACCAGCCTCCCGCACACACCTCCTATCTTTTTCTCCAGATAGAAGCCCAGCAAACTGGCTGAATTCTGTAGAAGACAAGCTTGCCATCTCATGTACTGGTCACTTACACCTCTGATGGCACAATAAAGGAAGGCTTGTATGGATTATACAGCAAGTGTTCTTACTTTGGAAGCATGCCATGGTGTCAAACTTAGTTTTATCATAATTACATGTTAAACAGAGTCCTCCAAATCATAGTCCACAGAGCTGTATTTGTCAAATGTTCTCTCCTACCTGTGGTGGCATATGTAACTGACAATAACAGCCAAGAGACATAAGAGAAGAATGACTGCTGTTGTATAAACCACAGGATGCAGGAGACTGGCTGCCAGAGTATACAGTTCGGATCCCGTCAAATCCTGTGAAGAAAAAGAAAGAATTGTTCTAGGAGCAATTCTATGGACATTTAACCACTAGGACTTTTCCAAGTGATTGAAACTGTTAAACAAAAATGCTGGCACTTAACATCTGTTTCAGTCAATGACTAACATTTCTTGTTGTACTTCTCACAAGTAAGCTTGCTTCCTATCTTCCACTGTGTTAACTACTTGCAGCATCCCATTGTTCAAAGGTGGACTGTCCACTTTGTAAGTCTGAATACTGTTCTGCCAAGAGTAATAAAAGAGAACAGAAGCCCACATGCAAGTGATTCAAAGGGCAACCACAGGCTCTATCCGTCATCTTTAATGCCTTTCAGCTCATTTCTCACTCTGTGTTGTCACTAGCTGAGAAGGCACAAAAGAGGGCAGGTTCTCCAACTCCTCAAAGCATGAACAGACTTCTCCATCTTTCAGGTCAACTCTGAGTTCCCTAAATACAAATGCACCAAGCACCATATAATCTGGAGACATAATGCTAAGACATGGTTTCTGCCATTGCAGAGCTCAAAGTCACAAGAGACAGATACACAATCATATTTCAAGAATGTCTGTTGAAGAAACAAGCAGTACAGTTATGGGAGCAAAGAACAGTCTTATATGAGTCCAAAAATGAACCATCAACCAAGACACATAAAATTTACCACAGTCTAGGCATTGACTGGGCCTAACACATTTCACAGCCCCAATTTATAGCTTGAAAAACTGAAACAGAGAGAACTTAAGCACCCTGAGAATTTGATCCAAAAGAGCTTGACTGCAAAGTCTATATTCCCAAATACAGGGCAGACACTGCCTTGCTAAAATGAAATCAACAGACATGCTAATTCTGTCTTCTTTACAGAAACCCAAGGAAAGCTGGAAAGATACCACCCTAGCCTCAGGTTATGGGGTAAAAGCTGTACTAGCCAGATCCCTTCACTACATTCTCTCCTTGCAATGACTTTTATCCCTAAAAAATGGTGGCTGGATGTGGAAGAGTTCACCGCTACGTATCTCCTCTAATCAGGAAGTTCTTGAATAAACACCAGAAACAAGAAAAGTACTGTCAAAAGGAAGGGGACAGGACAAACAGGCAAAGGAAGGAAGGTGGCCTCAACTCAGTAGGGAGGGAGGGAGCAAATTTCCCAGTAAAGAATCAAAGATGACAATATGAAATTGTAAACTTAAAATGATCATGTGAGGACATCTTAACAAACTCTTTGCCTAAACAAAAGATGGACAGTTAAAGACAAAAATCTGTGGGGGGAAAAAAAAAATCACAGTTAATGGGAAGCTGGAGACAGAAAATTGAATCCCAACTGAAGAGCTCCACTTCACCATGATCAACTCCAACTTGTAATTCATCCATTTACATCTATTCACTTGATGGCCAGGCACTGTGCAGAGCACAGACATGCAGAGACAGGCAGGACATAGTCAGAACTCTCATAGGACCCTGATTGTGTAAACAAAAGGGCAAAAAGAGAGAATGTCTACCACAAGCAATTCTGAACAATCTGCCTTGTAAGGTACTCACAGCACCAGCCTATGAGAGATGGCCTCAAGACATTAACACTCTAGCCTGCTGGAGTCCAGATATAGTAGTAGGAACAATCTTAAGATGTTGGGGCAATGAAAACCAGTTAGATGCTATTAAAAGTAAGACGGTTCCCTTCAATTTCTATGAAAAGCTTCTATACCAGTGAAGAACTAATAACCGAGGATAAACTTCCAATATCTAGGACTTAGTCTCCAGATTCCTGCTTTAGATTCCTGGAAGAAGTAGCACACTGCCACATGACAGCTATATGGCGTGGGGTCAATACCTCCCTGTAAAGGTGCCTTCCACAGCCCAGGACAGAGCATAATAACAAAACATTGGTAGTGAGATATTAGCTAATAACATCAACATGCCATTTGCTTCCCAAAATATATTGTATATAATATCCAAGTTTTTAAAAAGTCAGACTTTTCTAAAGTCAAATGTGTGTGACAGAATGAGAAAGAAAGTGGATGTTCAAACAGAAGGTCCAAGTTCATCAACAAAGAAATGACTGAAGCAAGGGACAGGCAGGCACCTCCACCATGGTGAGAGGACAATGCGCCCACAGGCACATAGTGCCCTGCCCAAATGTGTAGACCCTGATGAAAACAGACCCAGAGAACTGTGAAGAGGACTGGTGGAGTGGCTTAAGTAGTAGTGTGCCTGCCTAGCAAGCATGAGGTCCTGAGTTCAAAACCCAGTACCATTAAAAAAAAAAAGTGTGAAGAGCCAGATAGTAAACATTTTAGCATTTGCAGGCCAAGAGGCAAACTGAAGCATTTTTTGCAGGTACTCATTAACTATTCAAAATAGAACCATTAAAAAACTTAAAAACAGGAAGGGAGGGAGGTGGGAGGGAGGGAGGGAAGAAGAACACTGCTGACTGGACTGAGCAATAGAAAACATAAGACTACCTGAGGCAATTGAGAAGACTGAGTATTAAAACAGCAAGTAAGATACAGATCTACAATAAGAGACAAAGTAGAAATCTGAATCATTTTAAGTTATAGTAGCAAGCACATACAGGCCATGTAATAATGTCAGAAAGTACTAAATACACTGCACAAAAATGGCACTAGGTGATACTCAAGAGCAGTAAAACTACTGTTCATACTAGCAACATGGTGATGGGTAAGTGAGACAGGGAAAGTCGTACCCCCCCACCAACAGTGACCAGTGGTGATCTTGGTCATGCTTCTGAATGTCATGGAATTAAAGGGAAAAAAAAAAAAGAACCTAAGCAGGAAGCAAAACTCATGTCCTCCTCAGAAGTGAACTATACTGAGGCAGAATACCTCAGTGTAGAACACAGAGCACATGCAAATGTGGGAGAAGTCTCAAAGATGATCATTATTATGGATCCAAATGAGGGGGGCAGTTTTGACTGTCTGAGCAGCAAGAGGTACTTCAAGCCTAAGGACACTAAACATAAAATCAATGGAAGTTTCAAAGAATTCATTATCATCATACCAATGACAAGAATAATTAAAATCAGCAATTATCTATATTCAACGGGATCTGAACTAGAGGATGAAATCAATGAAAATATTCCATTGCATGTCAGAATATAGAGTTATAATAAAAAACCCACCAATAAAATTAAATTTAAAATAGATCTGAAATCAGAAATGCTTAAAGTAACAGATTAAAAAAAAACCCAAAAACAAAACAAACAAAAAACCCAGAACATACTGCAACATCTAGGTTACTTTTCCACTTCCCTCTTAAGTTCAAAGAATAATAATTTAAGAATTTTGTACTTCCTATCACACTACACACAAAATCGGTTGTGGACCCAATTGTGAAAGGTAAAATATATTAGAAAGCCTTGAGTAAAACAAAGAAAATTTTCATGAACTTGGGAAGGCTAGGATTTCTTAAACGGGATTATTTTATATATATACACACACACACATACCCACTAACTACAAAAAAAAAAAAAAAAAACAAGGCTAAAAAAAAGACTACAGAAAGAAAATACTGTTTGTAAAATGACTTCAAGAGAACATGGAAAAAGGCATGGACTCAGATCTGTAGTGCATACATTCAGCAAAAGAGCTCACATTCAGAACTCTTAGCAAGAATTCCCATAAAACAAATCCAATTAAAACTATACAAGATTTTGTGAAAGCTTCACAAAAGAGGGCAATAAGAAAATACAGTGGTGGGACATCTTCAGTCACCAGAGAACTACACTTTAGAACCACAATGATCATAAAACCGCCACAAAAACCTTCTTATCAAAGACTGACATCACCAAGGATGAGCAAGGATGTAGCACTGTCTTTGTGGTGGAACTGTAAACTATCCACTTGGTCTACCACTTGAAATTAGTTATTGAAGCTGAATACAGGATGGTCTACAATCCAGCAATTTCACTCCTGAGTAGGTAAGTCCATCAAAAACATGTACACAGATACTCAGAGCAGTTTTTCTTTGATAACCAAATGTCCATTAACAATACAAAGAAACGTTCGTTCAATGGACTGCTGTACAGCAAGGAAAAAGAACAGACTGCTGTTACATGAAAAGACAGATAAATCTCACCAATGTAATGATAAAAAAGAAAACAGACACATGGAGTACATATAGCACTGCAGTTATGTAAAGTGCAAGAACATACCAAATTTATCTATGGTGCCAGACATGAGAAAGTGGCCATGTCTTAAGAAGATGGTGGAAACTGACTAGAAAGAAACGTGGGAGCTACTAAGTTCTGTAGTATAAATCTTGATTTTAGTGGTGGTTAAAAGTCTGCATCACGTGTAAAAATATTATTAATGCAGACACTTAAGATCTGTGTACTTTGTTCAATATCAATTTAATGAAAAAGGAAAAAAGAACTGGCCCATTTGATTACCAATTTCACCTCAGGGAAATTTATCCTACAGCTACCTTAATAAATGTGCAAAGTGATATGGTACAAGCAAACTACTGAAAACAAACACAATAGGGAGATACCAAAGTAAATTACAGCAGGGGCATAAAATAATATTGACGTACAAAAAGAATGAGGAAGCTCTCATTTATCGCTATGAGATTTGAGAAAGGAGCTTCAGCCAAGTGGTTAGGAACACAAACTTTGGAACCAGACGTCTGAACTCAAATCCCTATTCCAAAACTAAGTGGCTTTGCAGGCATAGCACTTAACTTCTCCACAAGTCAGTTCCACACCTATCAACTGGGAGTGATGTTAATGGTACTTCGTGAGGTTGTATTACAGACTAAGTTCACGTACGTAAAGACACCAGGAGTGCCTGACACGTAAGTACTTAAGAAAGATAAGCAACCACTACTTCCACATCATCAACTACTTCAAGGTACAACATGAGGCTGGATGCCTCCTGCAAAGCTAGGAGGATGGCAGTCCAACCAGTATGGGTAAAAACAGCCAGAGACCCTATGAGGGGTTGGAGAGGGAGGGACTGGAGGAATGTCTCAGTGACAGAGAACTTGC